GCTCAATCATCTGGAACACATGTTTGGGGATTGTTAGGGTTTCCACTGTTAGGGTGTCCACTGTCATGGCATCCACATTTGTACCCTACCTTTGCGTCCCCTGAGCGGTGCCAGCCCCGCACGGGTTCCCCCGGCGCCGGCCCTGGCGAGGCTCGGGCCGTCTCGGCCGCGCAGCATTGCCGCACGGGGTCGCTTCTGCGCCTGCCCCCCTCGGGAAAGGCGGGCGACGGGGAGGCGGGGGCCCCGACCGACCGACCGAGGAGGAGGAGGAGGAGGAGGAGGAGGAGGAGGAGGAGGAGGAGGGGGAGGAGAAGGAGGAGGAGGCTCCTCCGTCTCGTGCTCTGCCCCCTTCGGGGGCGAGTGGCGGCGAGGCCGAGGAGGAGGACGACGACGATGAAGAGGAGCAGGAGGAGGAGGAGGAGGATGAGAGGGAGCAGGAGGATGAGTAGGAGGAGGATGAGGCTCCTCCGCTCCTCCATCTCCTGGTCTGCCCCCCGCGGGGGCGAGTGGCGGCGAGGCCGAGGAGGAGCAGGAGGAGGAGGAAGAGGAGGAGGAGGAGGGCGGAGGAGGAGGAGGAGGAGGGCGGAGGAGGAGGAGGAGGAGGAGCAGCAGGAAGAGGTGGTGATTGAGGAAGGGTGGGAAGGGTCGGGTCGGACGCAAGGAGGAGATAGGGAAAGGATGGGGTCCGAAAACTGCTGCACGCAGCTGGTCTCGGCCCCGCCGTAGGCGTTCTCCTGGACACACCGGCGCTTGTGGCGCTGGGAGACGCCAGGGAAAAATTGATGAACACTTTGCCCCCCCTCCTCTTATTCCTTCTCCTCCTCCTCCTCTTCCTCCTCCTCTTCCTCCTCCTCTTCCTCCTCCTCTTCCTCCTTCTTCTCCTCCTCCTCCTCCTCCTTCTCCTCCTCCTCCTCCTCCTCCCTCTCCTCCTCCTCCTCCTCCTCCTCCTCTTCTCCTCCTTCTCCTCCTCCTCCTCCTCCTCCTCCTCTTGCTCCTGCTCCTCCTTCTCCTCCTCCTTCTCCTCCTCCCACCCCTTTCGTCTGATCTGGGAGGGGTGGGGTGGGGGAAGAACAGGACGATGGACGAGGAGTGGTTGGGAGGCATGGCAGGGTCCGAGGGAGGAGGACTGGCTATGGGTATGGGTGCGGGTTGTCGGACGCTGGGGGAGGCTCCCATTCGAACGGGAACCCCCTATCCGACAACACGCATATACCGCTCCCTCCGCCCCCCTCACGGGTATGGGTGCGTGTTGTTCGTTCGTCAGGGATGGAGTGGCCAGTGGCCCAGGAAGCAGCGGGCGCACAGCCAGGCGCGCTCGGCCGATGGTAGGCTTATCGCAGCCCCAAATCCGCCGACCCCAGCGATCAGTGGCTGGAGTCCGAGGATTACATGTATGCGCCGCAATTCTGGCGACCTTGCTGGAGGAGGTTCGCTCCACTACGGTTAAAGAAATTGCCACTTTAAGACATTGACCGTAACTTGGTCTTCGCCACTTTACGCTCTCACGCTCTGACCTACTGGACTCTTCTGCCGCCACACGATTCACATTTCATCCACCTCCACCTTTCGGAACTGTATTATGTTTCTGCATGGTCATCATTCCGCTCCGAATAACAGCTCCGTTCTGCTAAGTATCATTACCCTTGCCGCTGTGGCCGACCAGTTGGAAGTCTGCCTAGCGCAGAACAGGAGGAGGAGGAGGAGGCGGAGGAGGAGGAGGCGCAGAAGCAGGGCCAGCAGGACATGATCAATCTGCTGATGACGACGACGATGTTGACGAGGATGGCGCTGCTGAGACTTATGATTCCGACGATGATGACAGTGATGATGACGACGGTGGCGATGGCGACGCTGATCACGATGACGATTATGGCGTTTGCTGGTGATCGAGATATTGGTGAAGATGCATATTAACATGATGATGATGGCAATGATGAGGATGCATACCGTTGTTGATAATGGTGGTGATGATGACAACGTTATTGATGAGAGTAACGATGTTTTTGTTGATGGTGGTGATGATCATGACGATGATGTTGTTTCTGTTGGTAACAATAAGGCTGCTGAGTTTGATGATTCTGCTGCTGTTGATGATGATGATGTTGTTGATAATGATGGTGATGGTGTTGTTACTGCTGACGATGCTGATCAAGATGGTGGTGATGATGAGGCTGCTGATGCTGCTGATGGTAATGATACTGAGACTGATGAGGATGAATGTATCAATGCTGATGATGATGATGTTGATGAGGATGCTGATGCTGGTGACGATCATGCTGTGGATAATGCTGATGATGCTGATGCAGCTGGCGATGATGATGACGATAACGATGCTGATGGCGAGGATGATGTTCATTCTGCTGATGATGCTGATTACGGCGGCGGCATAGGATAAGGAACGTCTTCCTGGGGCCCAGACCCTGGCGCATTCCGTATTGTTTCAAGGCGAGGTGGGTGGCCCGCGTTTGACCGCCCATCGGTCGCGAGACCTTGGGTTCCTTATCGAGGATATCCTTATCAAATGCCTCCACCGTCCGTAGCCATTTTGGCTCAAGCCTGTGCGCGCGCGCTCCACGGCGGTGTGCGGTCCTCCAGTCGGATGGCGGGCGCTGCCGCGGGCCGGGCGGGGGCACTGGCGACGGGGGGCTGCCGAGACCTGCGTGTCGGCGGCGGCCCATGCGAGAGGAAGAGATTGGCCCGCTGGGTGCCTCGGCGGCGAGGAGGGCGGCGCGACGGAGGCGGGGCCAGGCGCTTCAAGCCGCCTTGCGCCGAGCCCTCGGGGACGCCGGGCCCGGCAGGCCTGGCTCGTGGCGGGACAGGGAGCTCGCCTCGCGGTCCGCGCTTCGTGCTGCTGCAGCGGGCAGGCGGGTCTCGGGGGCGGACCGTGGTCGCCGCAGCGCGGCATGGCACGCCGCCCGCGCCCTGCCCGAGGGCTTCACGAAGGCGGACGCGGCGGGGATCGCGGAGGCCGCAGCGGGGCCCAGGCTGGGCGCGTTCGCTGGCTCGGTCGGGCCGTCCCCCGCGCGAGTGCAGCCTTCATCGACGGGCTCGCGGCAGGCATGCGCCTGTCCCGCGAGTTGGTGGAGACCACGTGCATCCGCGGCAGCTCTGGACTGCCTGGCGGGGGGCTGGGGTTGGCCCCGGGCGACTGGTGTGCCGACGTGCGTGTCGATGACGGCGAGATCGAGCTCTGGGAGACGTTCGAGGGCTGTCCCGCAGGGGTTGCGGATAGCAGTGTCGACGTCGAGGAGCGGATCATTGTCGCGGCGGACGCTGTCACAGCCTGCTCGGCCAGCCCCGCCACCTCTTCGGGACCCAGCCGCGACGTCCTGGAGTACCTGGTCCGCTACGATGCGGTGGTGCTAAGCGGCGGAGGCAGCGACCCACCGCCCGAGGGGAGGGTCGCAGTTGCCGAGCGCGGCGCGGCGATGCCGTTGCGGGGGCCACCTGGTGGCGTGCGCGGGCGCGCGTGGCTTGCGCTCGGTGCGGCGTTCCCGACGCCGAGGAGCCCCTGCACAACGAGGGCGCCGCAGGAGCGAGGGACCCGGAGTCGGACGAGCAGCAGGAGGAGCCGCGCGGGAGGCGCCTCGAGCGGGCTTTCTTGCTGGAGAGGGCCGAGGCGTTCGAGATCCTCCAGGCGCGATTCGCGCAGCTATCAGCCCAAGCCTCGCGGGTGCGGGAGCTGGTTGACGCGCGAGAGGTGCGCGAATGAGTGGGCGCGAGGTTGTACTCCATGGAGCTGACCGTGGACAGCGTCGACGCCGTGTACTTCCTGGAGGAGCTCCACCGAGCGGCCAGGGAGGGTCGCATCACCGCCGCAGAGGCCGTGGAGATCGTGTCCTCTCTGCGGCGGGGAGGGCGGCGATCGAAAGAAGGTTTGTGGAGGCTGGCGAGACAGACTTCCGCGACAAGTTGGCGGTCGAGGCCGAGGCGGACGTGCTGCTCGACGCGTTTGGGCTCCTTGGCGGCGAGGCGCACGATCTGTGGCAGCCCCATGTGCAGGTGGGCGAGATGGAGCCGCGGCGGCAGGCCTGGCCCCGCCGCCATGTCGGGGCGTTTGAGTTGGCCCACCTGTCGGATCGGCCCTGGGACGGCAGTGGCGGCTTCGTGGCGGCCATGGCGAGCTGCAAGGGAGCAGCGGGCACGGCGCGCGTGGGCATCCTGGTGCGGCGGGTTCGAGCGGTTGCTACCCGCGGCGACCCGCGCGGAGGATGGCCCCCGCCAGCTGCTGTGAGCCGTGAGCGCGGTGTGGACCCCGACCCCTGGGGCGGCGCGGGGCGCGGAGTTAACTGCGCCCCCTTGGCGGGTCCCCGCCGTGCGCCGCGGGGCGCGGTGTAAGACCGGTTTGGGCTGCTGCTGTGCGGCGCGCGGGGACAGCGGGCCTCAGGACGTCGAGCCCGAGTTTGAGGGTTCATTCCTGGGGGCCCCGCCCGCAGAGGGCGGCAGCGACGCGCGGGGGCAGTGGGCCCCAGGGAGACGCGCCCTAGTCAGGGGGCTTGTTCCTGGGGCCCCGCCCGCGCTTCTGTGCAGCGAGCGTGAGCGGTCTCCGCTCGCGGAGAGGTTGAATGCATGCATGCGCGCGCTTTGGCGCTCGAGGTGGTAACAATGCCTCCACCGTATGATGCTGATGCTGATGCGGATGCTGGTAGTGATGTTTATGTTGCTGATGCTGGTGAAGCTGGTGACGGTGACGATGTTGATGCTGATGATACCAGGATTATGATGTTGATGTTGATGTTGATGTTGATGTTGCTGCTGCTGATGCTGGTGCTATTGCTGATTATGATGATGATGCTGATGTTGATGCTGATGCTGCTGCTGTTGGTGACGATGCTGCTGGTGACGGTGATGAAGGTGACAATAATGATGATGATCATGTTGATGACGATGCTGATGGAGACGAGGATGATCATGCGGTTGAGGAAGACGATGTGGATGATGATGCTGACGCTGCCGGTGATGATGGCAATGATGAGCTGCCCCCCGAACTGCCCTCCCAGGCGAGGCGTGTGCTCCCGGGGAGACAGGTGCCGCTACTCGCACGGCGAGGCGGGAGGAGCCATGCGCGCGCGCGAGGGGCGTTCGCCCCCATCTCTCCTTCCCCCGTCCTCCGTCCTTCAAGCCCCCCTCTCCTCCATCCATCCCCCTCTCCTAGCACTCTGCCTCCTCCCTCCCTCCTCCTCCCTCGCCCTCCCCTTCTCGCTCCTCCTCCCTCTCCTCCCCACGGGAGGGGAGGGCCCCCCGCAGGAGCGACGGCCGGCACGCGGATGGCCGCGGGACCGCCGCCCTCGCACCCCCTTCCCCTTATGCCCTCCCAGCTCCCCCCCCTCCTCCTCCCTCTTCTCCACCTTTTCCTCCTCTCCTCACTCTCCTCCTCCTCCTCATCCTCCTTCTCTCCTCTCCCTTTCCTCCTTTTCCCTCCTCCTCCTCCTCCTCCTCCTCCTCCTGTCCTCCTTCCTCTCCTCCTCCTCCTCCTCCTCCTCCTCCTCCTCCTCCTCCTTCCCCCCCTGACTTTAAACAAAAAAAAAAATGTGTCTCGCATTGCATGTATCCAAACAAACCAGATTCTCGAGGCCACTTCCTCACCCCTCGGGTCTGAGCTCGGCACGGGCTCTGTCTGCAACGGTGATCGCACCGTATCGCATTCCAGCTCCCCCCCCTGTCCCGATCCCCAACTCCTCCTCCTCTTCCTCCTCCTCCTCTGTCTCCTCATCTTCCTCCTCCTCCTCCTCGCTCCCTGGCGGCGGACGTGGGTTTACCCGCTGAAGCCGACCAGCGCGGCCGCCGCGGTCGCGGCCAACGGAACATGTGCATGCGTGCGCACGCACACGCGGCACGGCACATCGAGCGCGCCACTAGAGGGTACGCATATGTGCACGCGCGTTTACCCGAGGAGAGGGAGTTGGAGGGCGAGCTAGGTCATGAAGGTCTCCACGGTGCGTGCAATGGCACCACGCACGGGCCTTCCTGGCGGCGCCTCTGCCGCCGCCTCTGGCGCGCTCCAGCGCTGATCCAAGACATCCGCAGGGACCTCCGACGGTTTGTGTTCGTGCCGATGTTTCTGGGTCCCCCCCTTACACGGGAAAGGGGACCCCAACCACACAAAAACGAAGGTAGTTCCCCAGAGGTGGTCTGGGGTTCCTCTCTGGGGAAATTCCCCAGCGAAGCCCAGATCGCCTCCTCCCCCTCGGTCTGGCCAGGTTCCCCTCCTCCTCCCCACCCCTGCCCCTCCCTCTCTTCCTCCCTCCTCCTTCCTCCTCGCTTCTCCATCCCCCCTCTTCGCTCATCCTTCCTTCTCATCTCCCTCCCCGCCCCCTCCCCCTTCCCCCCATCTCCTCTGTGGCCCCTCCACTCTTTCCAGCTCTACCCCCGCCCGCATGGGGAAAGATAATGGAAGGTGGTGATGATCATGGTGGTGGTGTCCGTGATTCGAAGAAGCACAATCAATTTTAACTTGTGGTGTTCCGTGCGGGTTTCTTGGGTCCGCGCTGGGGCCCCATGGCGGCGCCTCCGGCGCCGCCCCTGGCGCGCTCCGCGCGCCAGGGAGGGGTGTCTAGCGCAGATACAAGAAAACCGCACCGAGCGCCAAGAGTTTATGTTTGTGCCGTTGCTTATGTTTTCTAGTGATGGTCATGGTGATGGCGATGGGAGGTGGTGGTGGAGGTGGTGGAGGTGGTGGTGATGTTGGTGGTGGCTGTGGTGGTGGTGGTGGTGGTGTTGATGATGATGATGCTGATGATGATGGTGGCGGTGTTGTTGGTGGTGGTGATGGTGGTGGTGATGATGGTGGTGATGTTGGTGATGGTGATGGTGGTGGTGATGGGAGGGCGAAGCCTGTGATGGTGATGCTGCTGGTGCCGAGGGGGAGGCGGCAGAGCCCGCTGAGCCCGCGGCCTCCTCCGCCTCCTCGTTCTCCTCCTCCTTGGGTTACGTTCGCTCCTCCTCCTCCACCTCCTCCTCCTCCTGCTCCTACTCCTCCTCCTGCTCCTCCTCCTGCTGCTCCTCCTCCTCCTTCTCTTCCATCATCCCTCCTCCTCCTCCTCCTCCGCCTCCTCCTCCTCTTTATCCTCTTCCCTCTTCCTGCCCCTCCTACTTCTCCTCCTTCTTGGGATACGTTCGCGCATCCTCCTCTTCCTCCCGCTGCTCCTCCCCCTCCTCCTCCTCCTGCTCCTCCTCCTCCTCCTCCTACTCCTGCTTCTGTTCGTGCTTGTCCTACCATTCATGCTCTTCCCTCCTCATGCCTCCTCCTTTTCCTCCTCCTCCTCCTCCTCCTCCTCGTCCTCCTCCTGTTCTGATCCTCCTCCTCTTCTTC